CCCCAACTCCTCAATTTATTGATTTTTTTTAGCAAGGTTAACTTGCCTCAATTTTCATGCAAAAAAAATGATAATTATCATCCAATCATTTGTCTTCTTCAAAAATTATGATGCAACAATGCGTTGTGATGTTAAAAAAGTCTAATGTTAATAAAAAAATAATCACTTAGTCTTTAAAAGCTTTATCCAAATGGCATTTATAAATAATGGTGAAATATACCATTCAAAGAAGAAGAAGATGGACGATATTGCTCAAACAGTATCAATTGATAGTAAAAATCACTAAGATTCTTCTCCAAAAATATGTCCCTTAAGATTACATATAGATCGAAGTGATGATATATAGAAGGTGTCAAAAAGAGTTCCATTAGATTGATTATACTTTAATTGGGGTGAAACAAGTGTCATGTTTTCCCAAAATTAAAAGTGAAAATTAACCTCTTTTTTTATCTTTGATGTTGTTTCATAGTTAAAGCCACGTCCATGCCAAAATAATAGAAGTATGATAGCTGGGAAGAGTCATAAGTCATTGATGATACCTCTAAAGATGTTCAGTATTCCAAGTTTAATGTAGAATCTACCCATTTGAATTTTTAATTTTGAAAATTTCATAATTAAGTATGATAACTGTACCATTGCATATGATCCCTCATAGCTAGAGAGATGAAAATTTATTACATTGGGGTCCCTTCTCAATAACTTTTAGACTTCACAAGATTAGATCTCCAATAGAAATAAGTCAGGATTTCATCATTTTATTAAAGTGACAAGCTACTCGTTGATGGTAGGTAGCAATCTTGAGTGGAGTTGCATAACATGTTTATGAAATAAATTTAAGATGATAATAATACTTGCCCTCATTATTATCCATACTAAAGTTAATTCCCACAATCGCCACCAAAGCCGGTGCTCTACATTGACTAAAATGTTGATTCCCATTTGTACCACCATTGTGATTGTCCATCATCACTATCAAAACTTAATGCCTTCAATTTACCTCTTAGTTAATGATTTGCTCTTTTATAATAGAAAGACATAGCATACTATTAATAATTAATGATATTTTTAATAAATCAAAGTCCCTTTATCCATCATAGAATTCATCTTGTACAATTCACTTATAATACATTTAAAAAGAAGTTGATTGTCTCCATTTAGATAGGCTGAATTCTAGGTATCAACTGCTCTTTTATCTTGTAACGGAGCTACAATTTTTCCTCTTTAAATTGGTTGATAATCTCTGTAGAATTGATTGAATCTGAAATGAGATGATTCTTCACACCATTTTGATGCTATCACTACATTTGTTCGATCTTATTATATTTTACTTTATATATAGACATAGATATATGAACCTAAATCGCTTGGTCTATTATTGCGCAACTAGTTCCTGCGGACTAGAAACTTAAAAATTATGTAATTCCATATTTTCCTAAACAGTATCCTCAGAATTATTCATAGAAGCTGAAAATTTTATTTCATTAACAATAGCAACAACCTTATGAATGTTCGCAAGCACCGACTCTAAGTAGGGGTGAAGGATTAAACAATTGAACTTATTGTGCCCCAGGGACTTGCAATTAATGATCATAAAAGGGAGGAAATTCCTCCATTTCAATACGTTGAATATATCCTCAATTATCAGGACCAATCCGCATAGAATCGGGGCAACATTTGGAACATCCAATTCAACCAATACACGAGCAACAGATGGCCTCAATTCGACCGATGTAACATTATCAATTTTTAATGGGCGACCGAATAAGGAACCCAATCCATGAAGGATGCTGGGGGATGTAAGTGTGCAGAAAATAACTCTTTTAGCATATATGAGCCATTATAAATCTTCATCAAATTAAAAATAATAATCAATTTATTAAAAATCAAAGTTATGAATAAAGCAAACAATATAAGAGAATAGCCATTTATTAGTTCCTTGGAGTTATAGACATCATCAACATCAATGTTCATTGAAATATTGAGAGATTTGGTTTTACTAAAACAGATTTTTATCCAAATATTGTTAGAAGATCAATGGCACCACTTGTCATGAAACTGTGATATTAATATATCTATTTACTCCTAATTAGTTTGTCATATATAATAAACATTCATTATGGAGCCCATTGTGATCAACACTCATTCAAACAAACATCCATTAATTATCTCCATCATTCCAACTCATCATTCAATTTCTTCACTCCCAAGTCTTGACCCTTATTTTGTTTCATGTTTTTAGTTATTGAAATGCTGACAATGCATGCAAAGGTAAGCAAAACTCATAGTATCCTACGTAAGCTAAATATTCAAATATTGAAAAAAAAAAAAAAATATGATTGCTTGCATTTTTTTTTTAATATTTAAAATATTGACCTCTATTTTATAGGTCAAAATAATACCCCTGAACGTAATAGTTAGTGGTAATGGCAAGGAAAAGTACAACATACACAAAATTAATGCCTCCTGCTTGAATGTTGAAACTTAGCCTTTATTTGGGACGACTTTCTTCTTGCTTTCAAGAGCAATTTTTTCGTACAAAATTTTTTGAAATTAAAATTTTTTTACTAAAAAATCGTTTTATAAAAAAATACGAAAGCTATTCCAAACGAAGCTTTAAAAGCTAGTCTTCATTTTTTTTCCTTTTGAATGGAAATGTTACTTAAGTTGAAATTTCCCTGTGAAAGCCTTTAGATAGACGTAAATGACTTCATATGCTTCACAATAAATTTAGAGATTTATTTTTAAATAAATACAATATATAAATAACTCACATAAATTGAATTCATATCAGAACTATTATTTGACTAGAGTTTTAGTTCTCATCACATGCCAATATTCGAGAAAATCTTATATAATCATATGCAATATAATTTAAATTTTTTACCTTTAAATTGCCTTGTAATTATCTATATTATAAAATGTTCGTCATGCTAAACTTTTAGCAAAAACCTTCTTGCCTCACATAATTTCAAATATTAGTTCCACCAATAGTCGAAACAAATCTTAGAACCTTCAAATTCATCCTAATCATTAATCAAAACATCAAATAATTTTCTTAAATAAAATTAATCTAAATTTTTATTTAGGGAACTCATTTAAGGAGTAACGTTTTAATTTTTTATAATACGTTACGTACGAAGATTTTAATCTACGTTGGCCTTTCAAATAAATCCAAAAAAAGCAAGAAGGATTAAGATAAGTTGGATCAAGGTTCCACCGACCAATTCTATTTATTAGCAGAAAAAAAAACAAAAAAAATCTGTTAAGTAGTTAAATGTAGCTTTCTTGCAAAGAAATTCGGTTATACAAAGAACATCATTTTCATTTTCATCTCATAAAGAAATTGTTTTTTTAATAACTATGTCAGCCACTCAAATCAATCCAAATAAAAAAAGAGCTCCCGAATGGGCTTTGTCGCTGGTCGGCTACTCCATCGAGAAGAGACCTTTTTACGAAGCACTTCTCTCTGCGATCAAAAAGACTTGGCAGCCCAAAGGGGAGATCTCTCTCCTTACTATGGATGATGGATTCTTTTTGCTTAAGTTTTCAGCTCTTGAAGACTACGAGCATGCTTGGACAGGTGGCCCTTGGTTCTTCTTCGGAAAGCCCTTCATCCTACAGAAGTGGACGCCTGACTTCGTCCCGAAGCGTGAGGAATTCCCCTCAATTCCACTATGGGTTAAAATCATGAACTTACCCCTATCTCTTTGGACACCGGAAGGTATATCTAAACTTGCTAGTTGTATTGGTATTCCTATTGCTGTGGATGCTCTTACTACGGAGAAAACTTGTCTCACCTTCGCGCGTGTCTGTGTCCAAGTCACCAGTTCTTCCCCTCTGCCGGAAGAAATCTTTTACTCTGTCGATGGCAAAGTCACCCCTTTACGTGTTACCTATGATTGGAAACCATAACATTGCTCACAATGCGGTTCAATCATGCACCCGCCAACCCTTTGTCCTAAAGACCCTATTTTGAAAACTACTACCAATGTTAACCACATAGGTCGTAGCTCAAGTAGAAAACCTAGACCCTCTCCTCCTCCCAGGCTTACTATACCCAAACATCCCCAAACCGTCAAAAATAACAGCTCGGTTACTTCTTTTCCTCCCTCCCAGCTTATCACTGGAAATAACACCATTAGCCCAGTCCTACCCAACCTCAACTCACCTTCTGGTGATGTGCAAGACATCTCAGAATTGCTTCTCAAAGCTCAAGAACCTCCACCCATAAACACAACCAACAAATTCCAGTCCTTAATTGACCTTGATAAGATTGAGGATGTTCAGCCCCAAAGCTCAAATCAAGTCCAAACCTCTAAAGACAAGTCCATGTTATTGGCTGAAAATGTCAATTACATTCAAAACCATAACAGCCCACCGCATACATCACCCCGCTTTCACCAACCCAACATTCCCTCAACTTCTAATGACACTAGCAGCTCCACTTCCAACACCCCAAAAACCCAGCACACTAGCAACCAAAACCAAAAGCAAACGAGAGGCAAGCAAGGAAAAAAAGCCTCTACCCCCAAAAACAAAACCCAATGAACCTCCCAAACATAGCAGCTTGGAACGTCAGAGGGTTTAACAACCCATCCAAAGTCAAAAGCTGCAAAAACATTGTCAAGTCCAATAACCTTGAGCTTCTCTTCATCCTTGAAGCTAAAATAACCCACAACAACCTCCATAATGATTGGTTTCTTGCCAACCACCAAATTTTCCCTATTGAAGGCAATTGTGACAATTTTCTGCTTTCCAACCCGGGTCGTATTTGGGTTAAATGGAATAAGGAAGCTTTAAACTTTACTCCTCTTGTTGTGACAAATCAGTTCATCCATGGTGCTATTACTATTAATGCTAATGCAGACTATGTTGTCACTGCTATGTATGCTAGCAACTCGTATGCAGAGAGACAAATTCTCTGGAAAAACATTCAAGATTTAGCTGGTGCTATTAATGGCCCTTGGGCCATTTTGGGCGACTTTAACTATTGCTGAGAGATGGATGAAAAAGCTGGTGGCATTGCTTTGTCGGTTTCCAAGTTGGGTGACTTTAATAGCATGATTTTCAACACTGGGATCCACGATCTTTCCTCTATTGGGCATTTTTACACATGGCACAATCATCAGCCCAATAATCCTATCCATATCAAACTGGATAGAGTTCTTGTCAACGACCATTGGCTCCAATGCTTCCCTAACTCTTTTTATAAAGTTAATGATCCGGATTGCTCTGATCACTCACCCTTAATCTTGGTTAACTCCTTTGATTGCAAGCGTGGCCACCGTTTCTTATTCAAAAACTACTGTACTAAGATGCCTGAATTTTGGAGTTGCCTTTTGGATGTGTTTTCTCAACCTAATGAGAGTAGTCCTCTTAGCTCTTTTAATTTCAAGCTCAAGACCCTTAAGAAGGCTATGAAACACAAAAACTGGACTAATGCGTCCCTCATCCAAGGTGATGTTGACACTCTCAAAGACCTCCATCACTCGATTCTGACTCAGATTCAAAGCAATCCTCTTGATCCTGATTTGAATGACAAGCTCAGCCTTGTTAGCACAAAGCTTGCTTATTACCAGGAGACCCTTTCTAGCTGGATTATGCAAAGAGCTAAGGTTAAATGGTTAACCCATGGTGAAGATGATTTGAAGTTTCTCTACTCAAAAATCAATATTACCAAAAATCAAAACCGAATTAAGGGTATTACTAATGAGCATGGCACTTTCACTAATCATGCTGATATTGCCAATGTCTTTATCAATCATTTTAAGGACCTTTTCAATTCCCCTGCTCCCAATGATCTTTATCAAATGGTTTTGGATATCCCTGCGGGGAGTACTGTTCCAGCTCACCTCTCTTCATCTCTCACTGCTCCGGTCACTATGGAAGAGATTAAAGACATTGTTTTCTCTGGTAATCCTAATACAGCTCCTGGTCCTGACGGTTTTACTTTTGGTTTCTATAGATCTACTTGGACTGTTATTCAACATCATCTTTGTAGAGCTGTCTCTTCCTTTTTCACCACTGGCTTCATGCCTAGTCAGATTAAAGCAACTGCCATTGCTCTCATTCCTAAGCAAGCCCACGCTAGCAATGTTAAAGATTATAGACCAGTAGCTCTTTGTAATGTTATCTATAAAATCATTGCAAAAATCATTGCAAATCGTATGAAGATGGTGCTTCCCTATATCATTCATCCCAGTCAAGGTGGTTTCATTCATAAGAGAATTATTTCTGATAATATTCTTTTGGCTACTGATATTCTGGGTTGTTTTAACCTTAAAGCCAAACACAAGTTTTTATGTGCCAAATTTGATATCACAAAAGCTTTCGACATGGTGTCTAGAGAATTCCTTTACAAAAGATTAGGCGATAAAGGTTTTCCTAGCTTATTCATTTCTTGGATCAGAGCTTGCACCACTAATGTCCACTTCTCTATTTGTATCAATGGGGTTCTGGAGGGCTATTTTAATTCAACTTCTGGGATTAGGCAAGGTTGTCCCCTATCCCCCTACCTCTTTGCCATCATTATGGATGGGCTGTCCTCTATTATTGACCTTGTTGTTGCTAGAAATTCCTTTCAACCCATCAGAGCCGGTGTGAGACCTCGTTCCCTTACTGTTACTCTCTAATTTGGATTTTTTTTCTCTCAGGATCGTCCAGGACGATTTGAGATCGTCCAGGCCGATCGGTACTGTAGAAAATATCGGCCTGAGCATAGTTCTGGGAACCGTCCAGAATGATTTTTTCTGGTCTGATCGTCCCGGGACGATGTGGCGATCGGCCGGGCTGATCAGACAAATGATATATGAGATTGAGATCGTTTTCATGAGAGAGAAAATATTTAAAAAATCAAAATATCTGATTTTAGAGAGAGAAAGAGAAAAGGGAAAAGAGGAAATCTTGGGTTTTGGAGGCCGCGGAGCGCTTTTCGTCCGACGCTGCTGTTGGGAAAAGTGAAGATCTCGTAGTAAGGACTCCGAACCCTATTTCTGTTTTCAAAGATATTGAGTTTTGACCGAGTTATGATTTGTTTTGTGTTTTCGTAGTCGACTTTTCGACATGATTTGATATTGACACAACTTTCACCGCACAACTTTTAGTATGTTATAGATATGATTATTGTACACGATTTGACTGTATTCTACGAAGATTTTACCGGTCGGAATTGATTCTACGCGATTTTAATCGAATAGAAAAATATCAGGACTTGAAGGTGAACCCCCTTAAAAGTTCCATTTTGCTTTCCAAAAACACTCCAGCTGCCAACGACATCTGTAATATTCTCAATATCCAACAGGCTATCACTCCAATTAAGTATTTGGGATTGCCTATTTTTTATAGAAAGCTCAGACTGTGTGACTACAGTCCTTTACTTCAAAAAATTACTGCTCAGTTAGAGAGCTGGAAAGCAAAAACTTTATCATTGGCTGGGCGTGTGCAATTTATTAAATTTACTATTTCGAATACATTGGCCTACTGGATTTGGGGTTCTATTTTACCAAAAGGCTGTTGCAAGCAAATTACTAAATTGTGTTCTAGATTCACCTTCTATGGCAAAATTAATGAGAAGAAATTGGTTACTGTTGCCTGGAACAAAACTACATGCCCTAAAGTTAATGGGGGATTGGGTATACCTTCTATTCAATCTCTTAAGCATAACTTTGCCTGTACTACTATTTGGAGGTTCTTAAACTCTGATTCTCTTCTTTTTTCCTGGTGGAGAGCTAGATACCAATCCCTGTGGAACCCTATAGCCAATAAAAAATCACAATACTGGGACTATTTGTGTGCTAAAGCCAAAGAGATTCAGGGCTGCATTTCTTTTTCTGTGAATGCCAACAGCAATCTTTCTTTCTTTTGGGACCCTTGGTGTGGGGGAAATTCGGTTGCTGACTACGTAGATAATGCAAACTCTTATTCAGTTTTTCCTTTCTTTTTGACTGGAAAGTTTCTCTGTTGATCCAAGGGGATTGCTGGATAATTCCCACTTGCTTTGACAGTCAAATTGCTGCACGGATCAATTCTGTTAAAATCAATTCTGAACCAGAGAACCATTTCTGGATTAATACCCAAAATCCAAGCTTTAAAGATTTCAACTCCTATTTTTATGCTAATGAGATTGCTGTTCCTTGGCATAAATACATTTGGCACAAGAATAATGCCTTGCGTTTTTCTGTATATGCTTGGATGATGTTTCATGGGGGATTAAAAACTGC